TTTTTGTATGTGTTTATGTGAGTATGTTTGTATTTTGTTGGTATTGTGTTTTACTTTTTTTTTTTTTTAATTTAACAAATGGTAAGATTTTTTTTATACCCACCGCACAAAATCTGTCTATGCAAGTTTATGTGTGTGCCCATGTCTATGTATGTCTGCATACACACATGCATACAATAATGTATACATACACACATTCACACGTGTATGCTTTTGCGTTCGTATTGCGCGTCTGTATGTTTGTGTTTATCTGTTCGTTTGTATGTTAGCGCCTCTAGACGCGTAGTTCTTGCTATTATCTTTATGTATATTTTCTATCTTTACTCAGTGTGCGTTTGAAGTATATTGTATAGTATATTCTCGTTTTATTATTTATTATTCTATTTTCACTTTTATGTATTTAATATGTGTGTGTGTGTGTGTTTGCATTTTGTAAAGTGTGTAGGTGTGGTGATTTGTGTGCTCAGTCTGTATGTGATTTGTATGGTTAGGTATTATTTTAATGGTTATCATTGGTTTATATTGTTGTTACATTTTTGTGTGTATTGTGCTTGGCAATGCTATGGATTAGATGTAATGTATGGCGGTTTGTGTTTGTAATGGGATTGCGTTTTGTGTTGTATTTACTTCTTTTCTATTTATATTAGTATTTAGGTAGCAAAGTATATGCTTCTTTCATTCCTCTTGTTCAATAAGTTGTTTTGATTCTTAAAGGTGATTGTTGTTAATTTCCACCAGACACAATTTACAGTTTATTCTATTGCTACTGGGGCGGGGGCTTCTTTTCTGTTTTCTTTTTTTAATGGAAAATGGTTGCCTTAAAGGCATCCTTATCAGCAAAAAAAACAGTAATTTTGTCTTCAAAACAGTTTTCAAACACACAAACTCAGACACACACTCACACAATTGGAAAACTATACTTAGTTTAGTCGACGATGTTTTATATGTATATATAGTTTTGTTGTATATTGTAGTGGTATAAAAAGTGTCACTGATGAAAAAAGCATATTTGTCATTCTTTTATCTTTAACCTATTCCGTTTCGTCCGTGAAAATACGGCGTCATTATATCGCTGATATAATAATGCCAATAACGAGGGAAATACAAAGTGAAAACATTTTTCTTCCGTAGCTCACTCCCGTTGCAACAATCTAAGAATTGTGATAAGACCCAACAAAAATGAGCCTAAAATTACGAATAATTCAAAGATTGTTAAGTCAAACAGCTCAGACAATTTTTACAGCGTAAAAATCTTAAATAGATCTAACTATAACATTTGGAAACCGTGTTTGATCTTTTTTCTTCATCGTATGCCAGCAAATATTATGAATTTGCCAAAAGAACTCTGCAATTGTGTCGCCGTAATAGCTCCTTTTGTTCAGCAAATAATTTAATTTTTTACCGATATCAGGTATCTCAGTTGAGTGACTAATAGAATTACCCGCTCATGTGAAGTGTCGCATGGGAAATGGCCTCTTTTTCTGTATGAATGGCAGAAAAAAATGTCTTCATGCTTGTAGAATGGATGGAAATGTCAGATGAGGATAATATTTGCAAGTGGTTTTTGTGATTTTTTTCTTTAAAGAAAAAATGGCTATTCTCGGACCACCATGACGACATTGTTCATGATTTTACTATTGCATGTTGGACGTAAAAATGTCACAGGAGTTGTTAGCGCTCTGCAGTTGACACGTGATAAGAAGAGAAAAACATTACGTCCTGTCTAGAAACAGTTGAGGAATGTCAGACAGCGGATGAAGCGAATATAAATTACAGAGAAGAAGAAAAAAGAAACGAAAGAATAAATGAATAAACTAATCGAAAATTAAAAAATAAATGGACCGAAACAAATTAAGCATGACTGAACGGAGGCTGAAAGAAAGACATGTAAAGCAAGATGAAGGTGATAAGTGAGTGGGTTGAGTTGGTTTGGATCGGGTTGATTGATTTTACGACAAATCAATCTTCATCAAATTCGGATGGGACTATACTTAAATATTTGGTCAGTTTTATACTTTATTATACAGATAAACTTACCTGAGTTTATAGGTAAACATGGATGGTGAAATGGATAGCCGTTAGAAATGAAAAATCGAAAAACTGAATTCAAATTACAGTCGAATTCATTAATTTCACGATCATTCTGATCAAACACATTTTTCCAAACGTTATAGATGTATGGGAGAAAATATTGTCTACATTTATTTCGAAATTTTACGCTGTTAAATCCATTTATTCTCCCGCTAGATATATTTTAAATAGTATGACATAAGTCGTTCTGTAGCATTTGTTGTCAAACATTCTGGATGTGTTGAGATGATAAAAAAGCCCCAGCAGTCTGGGCCGCTCATGGGGATGCATAAAAATGGAAAAGTTACTGAAATTATTCCGTCGTGTTTGTGCATTCCCCATCTTGAGAAATATTCGCGTCTACAAGAGAGGCTCTTGTAGACTGCAGAAGGAATGCAGTCGACTTATTCAAGGCACCGTCGACAGGGAAAGCAATAAAAAATACAGAAGTCAATTCAATATATATATATATATATATATATATATATATATATATATATATATATATATATATAAATTATATTGTATGTGTGCGTGTTTTAATATTTAACTATACATTAGAATTTCCGTAAATAATTTATAACAAGTATCATGATATTCAGAAACTATATATATATATATATATATATATATATGAAGAAATATAGTTTCAATGTGTGCTATATTTATGGGATAAAGTGCTCAATATCAGAGATAGAGCGTATGTAAATATAAATATAAAAGTGAACATTGAAGTCAGCACTCAGACGCGACATGCTGTTTCATGCTAGACGCAGTCGTCATGTCCCAAAACTCCTATCGTCTGAAACAACTTAACGGGATACGAAGCGACTTTATAAACTACATAAATTTAATGGTATCCGAATTAACTATCTAGTATATGTTTACTATGATTACAAATTTACATCTTTGAGTTCAGTAAGTATCAATATCTACAGGAGAACCTGGCTTATGTCAGAGGGTATCCTCCAGACGAGGCTCTGCCGAGGGGCGGCGACTTGTCTCGAGAAACTGACTCCGTTTTTACGTGGTCTCTAGGGAATATTTGCCCGAGCCTACGGGCTCGGATACCCCACTTTAAACTCGGCCTTGTGCCACATTTATTGCGTGGGGTAGCAGGTAAATAATTATATCTACAGGAGAAACTTTTTATACAAATTAACCTGTAGTAACCAAATTTGGTCAAAGATATATTTAACCGCTTTCTATTTCTAAAATATATATTGCAATGATGACAGTCACAGTGGAAACATCAAGTCTAAAAAAACAAACAACTTAATAAATACATGACACACATGGTTAACATTAATACAAAATATGAGCATCATACATCTATATATACACATACCTATATATACAATGTATACAGATCCATCACCATATATATACACTCACACATAGGGACAGATATACATAGGATACCATAATACGTATACATTACATATGTAAAACCAATCCTATATCACGGTTTATATATATATATATATATATATATTGAAATGGACAAAGTTCGACAATTATTTGAAGATATTTTTATGTTTATACATTCTTTTTATAGATACAAATATTTAAGTAAATGCTCAGTTTATAATAAGCAATATTAAACAACATTTACCGACCTGAATATCCGAGAAATTCTTACAGAAAATATTCTTCCTCTGACAGGATTCGAACCTGTATCCTATACGGAACAGTCATTTATCTTGACGTGCCTTTATCGTTTTGGCCACAGAGGAGCATTAGTTTAACTATCGATTTACTGTATTTAAACTTGAATTTCTCACGTACATTCATATCTGCTCATGGCGTATCAAATGCAAACAAATGATGTCATCACATTATTTTTATGGACAAAGTCCGACAATTATTTTAAAATTTGAAGCATAAAAAATGAATATTTATCTAAGAACTTGTTCTTTAACCAAACGTCTCTGTAATTATTGGAAAGTGCTCAATATCAGTTTTGTCTTTCTTTGTTCTTTCTTTTCGACCTGACAGAGCTAACATATTAAGTTGTATGGATATCAGTTTTTATATAAACCTAGTAATATCTTGTTTCTCATGTAACAAGATATTTTTAAAATTAATTAAAAAATTAAAAGATACTAAACCAGTGAAATCAATTAGCATTTTGTGGCGTCATTGTCATAAAGTTTACTTAAATAATATTTAAATATAAATAAAAAAAAAATGTTACCTAATAATATACATACTTATAGTTGATGTGAAAAAACTCTACATACTGCAAAGGATTCTAATACATTTACTTGCTCTTAAAAGAAATATAGTATATTAAAAATTAAAAGTGAAAATATTTTTCAAATTGTAGTTAAATAAAACGTATTCTAACCTAAACACCCCCACAAATCTTTAAATATACAAATAGAAAAATGCCGTAAGAATCTTTGCCGTTAATAATAATTTTTTTTTTAAATCCAGACGACATGCATTTAACGGATGTCAGATTTCATTGAAGAATATATATACCCACTACCCAAAATAAAACGTAACTAATAGCTGATACATCAAAATAGAGACATAATGAACACAAAACACCCTCGAAAATTTTAAGTGAGAATTTTATTTAAATATTTCTTGTGATGTGTTAAATCCACGTATTCTATTTTACAAGTGTATTCAGTTTTTATGTCATGAACTAAGTATAACTATGGATTAACAGTATTTTAATGCATATATTATGTTTCTAGCGATAGATGTCGCCAATAATCGCATTAATACTTCTGACTGTTTCTATGTGTGATTATTTCTTTGTATATATACATATGTATATATATATATATATATTTATAGATAGACAGATAGATAGATAATTTTATCGTTCAATATATATATATATATATATATATATATATATATATATATATATATATATATATATATATATTCCCAATAGGATAGAATCCCATTGGCACACATATACTGTCACTGAAAGTTTTTCTTACCTGGAGTTATATTTTTCCGATTTCTTTCTGAATTTAATACGTCTGATGATTTGGATTCCAATTTAATAAATTATAACAATGGAATATTAGTGTTTTCTTTTCTTTTATATATATATATATATATATATATATATATATATATATATATATATATATATAGAGAGAGAGAGAGAGAGAGAGAGACACTAATCATTATTCGCTTATGTTCTAGGGTATTTATTATTATGTCAATTATTTATGCAACTTAATTGACTCAAATGAATTCGTTCGTCTTTTAATTTTCTCAAACTATCAGTGTAATTAGAAAAATGTTTTCTATGTAATCATCGTTTGATTTACAAACAAGGAAATGTGATGAGTTTTGTTAATTCTTCAACCTTCCCTGACAAATTCTTCAGAATTCTGTAAAAATTAAATAAAGTTTGAAAAAGAGAGAAATAAATAATATACACTGGAAAAGTGAATAGAAACCATTCATGAGTGCAATAAAATGATCAGGAAAATGAATTCTGAGAAAAAATGGGAAATGTTTAATGTTTTAAGTCGAACATATATACGACCAATGTTGACACATATATGACAGGGATTTGCAAATATTCGATAAAATCTCATGTTATTATCTAATATAGAAAAGTAATGTTCCGTACTTAATCATTCAAAAGTTATTTTCTGATGTTTAAAATTCATCATTTTTTTTTAATTCTATTTTCACGATTTTCTTTATTTTGCGATTTTTTTTTAGGTTTGAGCTGAAAACATTGCAAGTAAATTTCTAAAAAGAAAAATATACATGCAACTTTCTGTTCTGAAAAAAATGCGGACTAACAGTGAAATGTCAGCCAAATAAATTTACGAGTTGTTTATTTACTAGAGTCGATTTTTAAACATTTTGTCGATGTGTAGTCGTTAGCGAGTTAGTCTCAGCTGACTCGAGCCTGGTAGCTGATCTTTCCTCTGCCCCACTTCATCGGGGATAGGAACTGACTTGAAACCAAGCTAGTAACGTTACATCATCACTGCGTAGACCCTGTGTTTTCTTCAGTCCTGATGAACAGTTGTACTCTAAAGGAGAATCCTTGTTTGGAACGTATATTGCAACGTAAACTCACTCTAAATAGTCAAAATATATACGATCAATCACTAAAGACAACGAAAAAAATGTCAGGTTTGTTGTACCACTCGAGAAACTACGTCCTGGCATTTACATCATTTGTCTCCTTCCAAGAGATTTTCCACTATCTTTTTTCCATTGTCATATCAACATTCCATATGGATACTTTTCAATGTCGAAATCTATTATCCATTAAACGTTTTACAGTTGTTTTATTAAGAAAGAAGCAACTTTATATAAGCCGTGATATTAGGAATAAGATTTATGAAACAAATACAAAAAATCATTAACTTAATATTATTGTGAAACACACAGCAGGTACTGAATGAAAACATGACAAGTAGAAGAATAGCAAAAGTTCCAATTTGGGTTTCGTTTGTATAAAGATATGGCCAATATAATGTTAATTATTCAAAACGTTTATCATCTAATACAAGTTGGCCTCCAAAGCGCACGGTTTTTTGTTAGAATCGGGAGCATTAATTTTAAGAAAATTTATTCAGAATGAAATGTTGGTTGCATTTTAGCAACTGTAATATCAAGATGCATTTTAATATTTTAAAAATAAGAATTTTAATATTGTTTCTATTCTATTTCCAGCATACTATGATTTTTTTTAAGTTAAAATGAAAACTATTCACTGAAAATCATTTACATTAGCTGTGTTATGTTGGTTATTTTGATATTCACAAATAGAAGTGAACTTGTCGAATAGATAGATAGATAGATAGATAGATAGATAGATAGATAGATAGATAATGTTCCGGACATCATAATGAAAATTGCATTTACTTTGTGCATACATATTCATTTTTCAGAATAATCTACTTCCAAATAACAGTATTTAATTCAGTGATATAATATTAATCACATAGAGCATTATACTGTAAAAGTATCAAATTCGATTATTCTCGTTACTGTGCGTAAAGCTACGGGTTTATTCCTACAGTCTGATATGTAGATAGATAGATAGATAGATAGATAGATAGATAGATAGACAGACAGACAGACAGACAGACAGAAATATTAGATAACGAGATTGGACGTATATAAGATGCACCACAGTGTTACATAATTTGAACCATGTGCAATAACAAACAACCACAAAAATTTTCAATGTGCTCAATTCGCGATCGACCTATTAATCAATTTCAAAATTTTGTGTAAAACTAAATAAAACGAATATTTCGTATACAAATTAAATTTTATGCCGAAAAAATGTAAGGCAATCGGATGTGTGTTCGAATGGTACCAGAAATTTTGCGATGGTTGGGATGATGATAAACTTTATGGAAGTTCATTTTTTCATACAAAACAGACTTTTTGTTGAAGGAAATCTTTTTCTGCAATTATTCTGATTGCCGTTTCTTAATGTGGGACGAGCATGACCCACGCTGTGGTTGGGCTTGCCTAGACTCATTCTCATTATGTCTTAGCCACGCTTTTCATCCATAAGAATATTGGCTATAAAATCATCACATCTTAGGTGTAATATTAATCGCCAAATTTGCGCGTTTGGTGTAATATATTCTCGTTCATAATAATTTGCTCTGAGTAAAAACTTGTGTGAGAAAAAAGGAATAAAAGAGAGGGTGTGAATCTGTGTCTGAATGGTTGCACCTGCTTTGGTGTCATACGTTTCCATATATGTGCATGTTATTGTGAAAAAGTTTTAAATTTATACGCTTTTATGGCGTCAATACAAAATCTGGTGTCATAATTTCGTTTCTTAAGCCATCATCCTTTTTTCCCCAATTTAATGGAAACAGCAAAGAACGATGCATTCATCAGTGCTGCAATAAATCCTAGAAAAATTATACAATTCTCTCTTACACAGAAATATGAAGATTTCAACTCAAACGTATCTTTCTATTTGGTAAGATCAAAAGATGTTTCACACCAACAAAACTATATTAAATGTAAAATTAAGTTGTTTTTTTTTTGGTAAATTAATTAAATAGGATTTTGCAAAAAGCAATATAATTGAAGTTCAAGTTCGTATTGAATTACTCAGCTTAACTTTGTTTTAGATATGATTACGAGCTTCTTGCGCGCAGGAAATGTCGAAGTCTCTATTCACTTTAAACGTAATAATTACGACACAAGAACGCCCTCTCTATATATATGTCTCTCTTTCTCGATCTTTTTCTTCTTCCTCTCTCTTTCTCTTTCTCTATTTATCTATTTAACATTATAAATACACTAAAGGCAAGAAGTTCGGAAAAAAACTGCATTTCTATAAAAAATAAACTCCTTAAATTATGATATTTTTGTTTTTTTAAAGTAAAGGATTAAATTTCATTAACTACAAGGTATTGACTTTTATTTTACCCAAAGGAAAATAAGAACATAAGTACAAAATATTACCATACAGCAGGTTAAGATTGTAACGATCGGGGAAGCATCCTCTTGGGAGTCGTTTTCACACACACACAAACACGCGCGTGCGCGAGCGCGCGCAGGGGTTTCTGTCAAGAAACTGGTCGAGTGGAACATCCATCAAACCAACTGAATATGAATGTAAAAACAAGGAGGCTACTCAAACATGGGTATTCACAAAAGAACATTTAGAGAAGTAGGAAATATATATATGTATATAGATACAGGATTAGTTGACAACAAAGAAAGTTTCTTATACACACACACACACATATATATATATATATATATATATATATATATATATATATATATATATATATATATATATATAAGTAGTTTCCTTTATTTGTTTACGGTTCGAAAACAATTATCATTTCCAGAAAGAATTAGAATATAAAGCCTGGTCTGTATCTAAGATGGATGACGGCTTGGAAATAGCAGGTACTGTAAGTTTGGATGTGCGGTCGATATAATGGATAACGACCCAGAATTGCAAATCGAAAGGCAGTGTTCTCCCCTAGCTATAGGTTAATTAGTAAGACTTGTATCACATTGATGAGTGAATGTAAAACTGATGTATGGTCAAATCAAAAATATTTATTTTCACTTTTACTTCCATTTATTTATTTCTATTAATGCTCAGTTGCTTGAAAATGAACACTAGAATTACAATGCTGTTTGCCTGGTCTTTGACCTTCTTTGCAAAAATACTATCTGTGTTTACATATAAATATATTTGTGCGTGTGCGTAATTGAGTGTGTGTATGTCTGTATGTGTGGTGGGGGGCATTTAGTGGAATATACTTTGTAGTGTTATATACATTTTGATGTTTGTGGGTGGGTTGACCAGATTCAGCAAATACCAACAGATACGACGATTTCACTAATCTTCGTGATTTCGAAAAAAAATTCTGTAGCTTAAAATTAATGCAAATATATTTTACATGAAACAGGCAGACACACCAAAACAGTTATCTATCAAGTTGGTACAAAAGTAATGTCCGATTTCAAGGTCTATATTAAAAATGAAAAGCCTATGATTATGAAAATATTTATTCGTTTATATAGCCCCCTTTGCCTTCTAGATCATCATTCCATCTGTGAATAAAGTAATAAACGCAATGCCTGTAAAATACTTATGATTTGAAAAAAATATGAATCTAGCTCATTTTCAACATATTCTCTTGATGTCAAATTAAGACCTCCAAGGATTCTCTAGTCTCCGAATCAAGTGATAAGTGTGAGTTCGAGCATTATCGTGATGAACGATGACACCCTTTTTGTTCACAAAGGAAGGTCGCTTTCGGTTCAAAGCTATTTTCAAACGACGAAATTGATCATAGTATAGATTAGCTGTAATTGATTGATTGTTGTTTAACAATTCGTAATGGACAATTTCTTCAATACCCCACCATACACTACCTGTAACGAGTTTACCTAAAAATGGTGCCTGAAGGTGTCGTGAAAGTAACATATTTGTTGAAGATTCTCTGGAGACAGTTTGTGTGGATCCCATTTCCCAACCACTGAAACCTTTAGTTCCTTTTTAATTCGCGTAGCATGTTTGTATTGTCTACTTTAAATTGTTCTGCAAGTTCCTTAGAGGTAATAATGAGATTGTCTGTAACAACAGCTTCCAACACTTCGGAATTAAGTTTTTAGACGACTCTCTATTTGCTCGTCTTTCCAACTTCGGAAACGTGAAAAGCACCTCCTGCAACTTCTTTCATTCACTGCATTATCTCCATAAACTTTCTGAATAGACTTTGCTGCTGCACTTGCATTGACATGCTTATGAAACTCATACAGTAAGATATATCGAATGTGATCTTTAGATGAGACGAACATGGGTGCCAATATTGCAGAAGATCGTTAAAAATATTTTTATAATCTGAAATAGAAACGTATAAATTATTTATTGTGACATTCCTTAACTATAACGAGAAGTACAAATTTCATAAATACTATCTAAATATTTCTTCTCAAACATCGGACATTATTTTGCACCAACATGATATGAATGATACGATATCTCTCACTGTTTTTTATCAGTCAGAATGTCGATAAAACGTTCTCTTTCTTTGTTAGCTTTTTCAAAAAACACTCTGCTGCAATTAGTCTTTCACTAATTCGTCATTGTTCTCTTAGTTATATCATGCTTTTGGATTTTATTACTTACCAATAAATCAATATGGAATATTTCAGATGTATACGGATTATTGTAACAAATGAACTACAATATTCCTGTTTACTCAATAAAAACATAATTTCCCTATTAATGGAGCAGGTTATGATATGCTTCACTCATAAATTGAGAAATTCACGTCATGCCAAATTCTAATTCTCAATATTCTTGCACAGGAAAATCGCAGAAGCTACTTATTAAATTTAATTACAGTACGCTTTGTGCAATGTTTACATTACGTCAATCTGCTAATGACAAATAATAAATCAAGTGTACGAATGGGGAATAAGTTTAAAGTGGTAGTCATTGCCTCAGGTACGCCTTAATATAATCAATATATTAAATTTGCACAATACCAGAAATAACATAATTAGAAATATTAGAAAGATGTATAAAATTTACTGGACTTGAATAGTCCAATTTCCTGAAAAAATGTTTTATTAAAAAGATTTTATAAGTTTCAACCGACACTAACATTAACGGTTTGGTCAATAAATACCGAATGTTACCTGTATGGAAACGTTGGTTTTATCATTACCATGCAGTGCATCTAAATGCTAACATGCGAGAATGATAATTGCTCGCCAGTGCAATTAGTCCGATCCTTACTAAAACTTAAGTAACCTACCCAGGGGTTTATGGCGTCCAATCAGTCAACATATCTTGTGGGGAAAATTGAGATTATCATATTGTTTTTCTTTCCTGATGTAAAATTAATTACACACACACACACACACACACACACACACACACACACACACACATATATATATATATATATATATATATATATATATATATATATATATATATGTTAAAGTTTTCAATATATATCTGTAGAGAAAACAAAATAACTTCCCTTGATAAAGTCGAATGACCAAAGTACTATTTTCCGATTGTCTAGTTTATTCCATCTGTATCCTTAACAAATATATTCTGAGAACTTTAACACATAGTTGATATAGAAAACAAGAACACACACTTAGTCCAAAAAAGAAATAATTACGAATATCAAGAAGAGGGTTTCAGAAGAGCGTCTTTTTTTTAATTTCATGTAACATTTCGTTTTGTTTTTGTTTTTTTTAATCATCATTTACCTTGATAAAGTCGAATGTCGAAACTCGTCGGCAAGGACTAAGTACTATTTTCGATTGTCTATTTTATTCACACAGACACACAGACACACACACATACACACACATACATACATACATACATACACACACACATATATATATATATATATATATATATATATATATATATATATATATATTGGGGAAATTGCAAGACAAAAGGGAAAATTTTTAATTTTGACGCGTTTCATCTGTCAGGACCTCATCAGACTGGATTTATTGATGTTGTTACGACTACACATGCGCATGAACGAGAGAGGCTGGTAGTTTCAATTTTTTTAAAATAATTTTTTTGCATTCTAGCGATATTCATTTATAATCTTTTTCTTTTCTATCCATCATTTTCGTTTTTAAATAACCCACATTGTGAAATTATTTCCTAAAATATTATTTCAACTTATTATTTTTTGTCTGATTAATAATTAAAAATCCATCGCTTCTTTATAAATTGTTTTGTTTATATTTGGATACAAAAATGCGCAGATATTTATATTTCGAGGGCTTAGCAAAGATTTGGAAATGCACGATTCAAATTTACTTGATTATCGACGCACTTCGTGGTTGAGAGGTTTAAAGCAGTTAAGAGCCTACGATGATTTACCCTGGCCAGACGGACGCAGGTTCGAATCCAACCCGGCAGAGTATATATTTCTTTCATAAGATTTCTGGAATATTGAGGTCGGTAGACAAAAATAAATAAATATGCTGCTTAATTAACAAGCGGGGCGCGTACTCAAATATGAGTATCCACTAGGAATAATGTTTAAGTAATAAAATCTGTAGGATTCATATATATATATATATATGAATTGGTATTAAATATAGATTAGAATATGACAATAGGAAAAGAAATAAATATGAAACGTTTATAAATTTAAAATATTTTCCTTTCTAAGTTCATTAGAAAATGAGATATGGAGGTTATTTTTGTATTGTTTGTTTTTCATTGCTTAAGCAGAGCCCCCTTGTATTTTTCCTAGCAATCAGCGATCGTGTGTATAATTGTTGTGTGGTTGTGTAACCCAATTCTAATTAGTCCATGCGGGGTTTGGTTGAAAATGTGTGTGACTTTCAACAACAGCATCAACTAAAATATATACAACGTGAAACTTGAAAAGAAAACTAAGATGTGTGACCGCTTGGGAATACCAGATGCCGAAATCTTGGATGTGCGGGTGGTGTAATGAATAACATTTCAGAATATAAAATCAGAGAGCCTGTGTTCCAATTCCACTCGTGTTTTTGATATTCCCTGACGCACAAATACTCTGGGGAAAGATATGCATCATTATTATCTCCAAAATAGTTCTTAGAATCTAAAAATATTTTTAACTTTAAATAGCCTACAAAGTATTGACAAACTGTAAAAAAATCAATCAGTCTACACTGATTTAAATAAAAAGTTATGAAAAAAACATCTATCAGTATCAGAAAGAGCAAGTAATATATCTATATCTGAGGAAAAAAAAGCGACGGTAAATTGATTGTTCAGTCAATAAATGCCGAACTGTACGTTATAGGGTGACAGCTAACCATTAGAATGAGTAGACCAACAGAAAATTGACTTAATAATTGCTGACAAAGTATCGTTTAAGATTCAGCCGTCGGAAACATAGTTAATATGGAAAACGGTTATAGAAGGTTGCTTGCAGAATTAAATTTACCCTTACAAGTTATAGAAATGATCTTCGTGTTGAAAAACAAATCCATATTCAAGTAAGAGAAAACCTCATCAAACTTCAGCTGGAAATCAAATAGAGATGTCGGCCACGGTGAAATAATAAAAGTCGTATAAAAAATACAAATTGCAAATGGCTAGCTTTAATTAAAAAACTGCAGAGAGAACAAACAGAAAACGCTATAACAAAAACAATTACTTGAAGTCAACGCGGGAAGTTTTGAAAACGAGACATATGCTCATAAATATAACGAGATAAAACTGAAGACAGGTTTAAACAAATCGATAAAAAAATGAATTAGAATACAAAAAGTTGAGCGAATCGTAGAAAAGGGAAAAGTGAAAAAGAGACCCAAAATGTAATCGACGGAGATAAATAGCCACCGCTTGTATTGAAAGACAAAATTATTTTTAAAACCGTTTTCAAGAAACTTAATTTCCATATTTCGCACCTGCCCACCGTAGTTGGTAACATACATTCACTATACACTGTGTGTTTTCATTATATCTCTATTTTTCACTCTAACGAGGTAATATTTATGTGGTCTGTCTTTAATTCTATCCCCCGTTCTAATGAAATGTATTCTTCGACTTCTTCCGGTTCTTCATCTCAGAAGGTTGTAATTGAAATAATTTTGGATTTATTCTTGCCTTTTTTTACACCTACATTACCCTTACCCTTTTTTATTCAATTTGTTACTTCTTTTAATTCATCAAATGATTCGGATACTAGTAAAATATCACCAGTAAACTGAAAATGAATTAAACATTTTTCTGTCTGAATTTCTGGGATGAGTAGTTACTATTTATATTTGGACTGTTGTCCTCATCTTATTAAGACAACATTTCAGTTGTTGTGTCCCCCGGCCGTCTTCAGGCGTATATTTATCTGGGTAACCTACAGGGAATTCTGAACTGAGGGTAGATTGTTCTCATTCCACTCCCCATATCTTGAGATATCTTGTCTAGTTCTTAGTTTTAGTACTGCTCAAATTGGTTCAGGTACAAACTGCCCAACCCAGGGACTCATCTCACAATCACTGTAACATCAATTTACGAACCAACGCTTTAATCCATCATGCCATTGTCCCGTAGTGAACTTGGGGACTTGACCCTATCCTGCTTGCTGATTAATGCTGTTACATTTTTCATTTTTATTTAATGCCATCGCATTCCAGTTAGTTTTCCGTGAAATACTTCCATAATTTACATTTGAATTGAAATAATCAAATGTATGCACGTTATACAATAAACAGCCAAGTAAAATACATTTCCATACTAAAGTTCACCCAATACAAGCACCGAAAGCAATGCAAGTTATAGGATTACTATCGAAATGTCTGTGATGAATTAGTTGTGTGATATAAATGAATTAATGTGATAGAAATAGATGATTATGAGGATAAGAAATTTAGATAAAGAATGGCCCATGACTTAAAGAGATTAAGATTAGAAAAGTATAGAGAATCACGTGT